TATTGTCACGTGGGCCGAATACATCAGCAAAGCACACATAGGGAGAGTTGTCAGCGTTCCAACAAACTGGCGTTCACTTGTACGCATGAGGCGGATATTACAAGCTAGGTTTCAAAGGGGAAAAGCCCTTCATCAACAGCCTGTATCGAAGTGCCTCAACGAACACCAATACTTGGCCTACATCATTCTCCCGGACCGTCTTCCCTTCGCACACTATTGGGAGTGGCCCATCCTTAGAAAAGATCATCAAGGGGTGACTTCACCGCAACGCTGTTCACACGGTTTATCTTTGATATCCTGTCTGCTTTCCAGATGATAAAAATCAGAACAAGGCGACTTTTTTAGACGTCATTGACACCAAATGATCGCATTTCGGCTTGCCCCCTCGACTGCAGATGCGTAGACACTAAGGAGCTCATTTCACATCGTTACCCGCGACATGCAAATACGATCAGCGGCCCGATAGTCGGTTGCGGTGAGCCGAATACCGTGAGTACTCGATCGGTGCACGCGTTGCACTGCGACACTCCGCAAGACCGCACACAATTCTGTCCGCACTCGGCATGCGGAATGTAGTGTACATCTGTTTGAGTCTGTAATTATCGAGCTGTGCGTTGACAGAATACGAGTGCGTTAAACTGCGTCTCATCTGCAGCCGCAGGAACCGTGAACGTGACCAGAATCGGGAATTATAAGACTTCATGGTACATTGATTCTGTTGGCGTATTGTTTGTTCGCAGTCGAGTCCCGCGTCAGCAGCCAAAATTCATTTGACGATGACGAGTGTCTCTTTTTGGTATACGACTGGGAAAGGTGTTGTGTAGCACAATATGGTAAAACAAGCCGCGATGTTTAGATGTTATCCCACACGTACCTGAATCGAGGATATTCATAACTTGAGTGCAGGCAGGGACGGCTTGTGTGGGATCACCGAATTCATCTGCATTTGTCAAAGGCACGTTTGCTTCTTGAAAGAAGCTTCGGTAGTTGCTTGCTTTGGCTGTATGAGCTTCCTGTCGTGAACTCGTTTGGAGCTTGCGTTATTGAAAAACTAGCAAGACATAAGATGCACCCCTTGGCCACCTCAGGGTCAAAGTTGCATGAGCAGTCGGATGCAAGCAGAAATTTGTGTAATCAGCAAAGGCGCTTTCTAATTTGAGGTGTGACTGCCCGATCAGCTACACTTTGAGCCAGATGCTGTGGGTCGGCATGCCTTGGTTTCAATTTTTGGCACATCATGGCGATTTTCATGTTTCGCTGGTCTCGCAGTTTAGGATAGAGTTCCGGAGTTCCAGGTCGGCGATGCTTTGGAACGCTGTTGCGCTTTCCATGGTATACTGGTGGAGAGATTGTTCCCAACACGATTATGGACTACGTAGGCCCGGACTCATCCCCAACGAAGTACGCTAATATGACACTTCTGACACGTAAATGCAGCTTGTAAGAACCTTTATATCACTGGCGAAAGCGCTGCATCTGCGATGCAATGGAAGCAAGCGTGTGTATTTGGATGGTCTCGCGGCAAGTTCGTGACAAGAGTCAGCAGCCTTCTGGACAAGAGTACCAGACGATACGACTAGCCTGAAAGAAGCGGCCTTTGCCGCCGCCCTTGCACAGCGTTCTCAAGTAAATTATTTCTCCGTGCATCCACGCAGGTCTCGTGCTGTTTAGCCTCTGGAGCGCAATCCCTGGAAGCAAGCTGCAAGACATTCTCCCAAGTATCAGGATGGTCGAGCGCGCCTGTATGCTGAACGTTCAGGATCTTATTTTCTTGCATTCGGCGCTCATTTGCCCTTGCCTAACTATGCCCATAGGGAGAAAGAGAAGGACTTGAGGTCCAGTGTGTACTCGGCTACAACGTTTGGAGGATTATTCGAGTATTTGCGCATGATGTTAGAATCGTCCTCGACAATGGTTGTGGCAAAGAACTTTCACATTTGCGCGTAGAGCGTGAGTCGCGCTTGACGGAATGCCGGGAGGGGCATATTTCTTGGTGTGTTATCCGCTCCGCATGCCTTTATTATAAGCCTTGGCAGGGCGGCTGTGCCTTTACGAAGTGCAGACGTGCAATGAGATGGGAACCTGTCACATATAGAACCTATACAACCTGTCACATATAGGACCTATACAGCTGCGTACTGTACGCAGGTTACCTGAAGGCATCCTTTGGGGTTACGCAGCCCGATAAAGGGCTTGAGGATCCTGCCGGAAACGCAGCTGCATAAAGTTTGTGCGCCAAGGGATAAATTCACATAGCACATCTTCGAACTTGTTGCGTCTAACGCAGGTGCATTCAACGCATATCCACCACTTCACTGCATCTGCTCTATTTAGGAAGTGCGTTCCCTACGTG